CAGGGTCACTCACTGGCTTGAACTCAGGACTTCATGCTTGCACTGAGCTATCTCCTCATCCTTCACTGGTGAATGTCTAAAACCAGCCCGTATCCACAGCATCACAGAGCACGCAGACTCACCGCAGCCTGACAGCTGGCCAATCTGACCCTGCTGCCTGCTCTCAACTGGTATTAGTGGCACCAAGGCAGACTAACACAGTGGCCAGGCACCCAACTTCACGCCACCCACTGGGCTCCGGGCTAAAGCTGCCCGTCTCTCCCAGCAACTAAGCTGCCCAGAGCCTTCAGCTCCCCAAGCTCAAGGTATTGCGGCTCTGCAAGGGGTACCACAGGTCCAGCGTAAGACACAGGGGGGCAGGACACAGACACAGCCAGGAAAGGGGCATACGGAATCTCAGAGCGAGCTGAGGGCTGGAGAACACAGGGTCCACGCATCTCACTGTCTAAGTTAGTGCCCAGGCTGTACAGGCAGAACCGAGCCCGGAGGAGGAAGCTGAGCGCACGGCACAGGACGAAGCTGCTTTCCCTGTGCCAGACAAGACTGTTCCACACATCGCGTCCTCATCTCCAGGCCCCTCTCTTTCCTTCTGCGGCGGTCTGAATGAGGATGGCCCCACAGGCGCATACATTTGAATGCTTGGTTCCCGGTCGGTCAGTGGAACTGTTTGTTGATTAGGAAGTGTGGCCTTGCTGGAGGAGGACTATCACTATACACTTGGAGGTTTCAAAAGCCCACGCCATTTCCAGTTAATGTCCCCGCCTTCCCCCCAGCTCCCCGTGTGTGTGTGTGTGTGTGTGTGTGTGTGTGTGTGTGTGTGTGTGTGTGTGTGTGTCTGCCTTGTCATGTGGATTACTCGTAAACTCTCAGTGACTGCTCCAGCACCATGCCTGTCTTCTGCCACGCTCTCCCCCATGATGGTCACAGCCTCTCACCCTGAGGAACTGCAAGCACCAAAGAAACTCTTTCTTCTGTAAGTTGCATTGATCATGGCGTCTTTACACAGCGATAGAAAAGCTCCTAAGACACCTTCCCTCCCTTTCTTTTTCTCTTCCTTTTTTTTTTGAGAGTGTCTCTGTAGCCGAGGATGACCTTGAACTTCTGACTTTCCCGTCTCTGCCTTCCAGGTGCTGGCATTTCAGACATGTACCCCCAGTCCTGGTTTAAATGGTTTGGGGGATAGAAGCCAGGGCATGCTAGGTAAGCACTCTGCCAACAGAGCTACATCTCCAGCCCCTTGAGTCTTCCTTGTACATATTTGTTTGTTTCATTGGCCCCCAAGTCCTGGGCATCAGCTGGATACCAGACTGCTAGGCATTGGATTCAAGCAGCAGTCATGGTGGAGAGGAGAACAGAGCTTGCCCCTGAAGTGAGCACGTTAATGAACAGGAGTGGGGTGAGTGGAGAGGACATCTCAGAAGGGATGTGCCATGGCGCATGTTATTCATTAAGCGGCACTGTTTACCATGCGAGAAAAGCCACAAGGTACAACAAAACCCACTATAAGAGTTTATTAAGGGAAGAGCATAGGAAAGGTGTGCATAGGCCTATGGGATTACCGTCCAGGAAGAGGGAGAAGGAATACGTGGAACCCGCTTTTATAGGTTCCCCCCCAACATGCGATTATGGGGTTTACATAGCCACGCCACACATGTGCATAGATTACATGATCACAATGCACGCAAATTATGTGATCACGCAGCGCACAGATTACGTATGACGTAAGACCCTGGGATGACTAAGTATCTGGCCAGCGCATGCGCGGTCATGCGCTGGGGGAGTGGCCAGGAATTGTAACAACACACACAACACGAGGTCGGGTGGGCAACATCCAAGGAGCGGCTGTGGCTCGGAAGCATCGCTCACTCCTGTCAGATCCCAGCACCACTCCAGGGACTGTGACATCCAAAGACCCAAGAGACTCACCGGTGCTCCTTCCACCCCGCTGCATCTTGGGTCATCACAGAATAAGATGGTGCCGAGAGATCCAGCCATCATGCCCTTGGGCCAGGTAGCAGGGTGGAAAAGCTAAGGAGAGACAGCCAAATACATGTTCAGAAAACTGTGTGTGGGGGCAGGGAGGTGGCTGGCGCCGTAAGATGCTTGCCTTGCAAGCCTGAGGACCTGAGTTCAATTCCCAGGACCCGCAGAGAGAGAGGGAGAGGGAGAGAGAGAGAGAGAGACAGGGAGGGAGGGAGGGAAGGAGGGAAGGAGGGGGGAGGGAGGGAGGGAGGGACAGACAGGGAAAGAGAGAGAGGAGACAGACAGGGAGAGAGAGAGGAGAGAGAGGGAGAGAGAGAGAGACAGAGGGAGAGAGAGAAAGAGAAAGAAGGAAAGAAAGAGAGAGAAAGAAAGAAAGAAGGAAAGAGAGAGAGAGAAAGAAAGAAGGAAGGAAGGAAGGAAAGAAAGAAAGAAAGAAAGAAAGAAAGAAAGAAAGAAAGAAAGAAAGAAAGAAAGAAAGAAAGAAAGAAAGAAAGAAAGAAAGAAAATCCCAGGAACTCCCTGAGTAGCCAGCCTAGCTGAACTGGTGGGTCCAGGTCCAAAAAAAAAGGTGCAAGGTTCCTGAGGAAGGACCCCCGAGGGTGACCTCTGGTTTCCACATTCATCACACAGACGCGCACCCACTGACCCAGGAACATGCGGACGTGGTCACGCACAAGGTTGAACCCCAGAATCGCAGCTAAAACTACATTCACTCACTAACCAGCAAAGCCAAGGCTTTCACGACCTCGGGGCAGCCGGGGCCAGACTGCTGCCCTCGAAGCTCCTCCTCAAGTCTCTCCAGCTGCAAATGGCAGCCGTCAGGGCTGCCTGAGAGGAGATTTTAAGCAGGAGCAAATGCAGACTTCAGTCAAGACTCCTAACGCACTGAGAAGTGGCGTTGTCTCCAGATTATCTGATTTAAGCAATCCTAGAACTAAAAAGACCAGAACAGAGACCTTGTTGCCTATCCTGATGCTGCACAGCCTCATGGCGGCAGGACCCCGGGGACCCCGAGGCGCCCCCACCAGTTCAGCCTGGCTGCGGATCACAGGGACCCGCCCTCGCCCTGGGAGGTGGCGCTGGGCTCAGAGGGCCGCACGTGGTGGCTTTGTGCCTGTATGATTTTCATTTCCCCAGAAAAGAAGGCACCGGCAGGGGCCCTGACCTCACCGCACAGAAAATACCTCGGCTCCAGGCCCCTAAGTGGAGCCCTCGAAAGAGACGAGTTACTTTGTTTTACATATTAATGGTTCTAAATGCCACCCGCTCTGGGATCAATTAAGCAATCTAGTGCTGGGAGGAAGTGGGAGGCTGGCGCGGCCAAGAGGACGGCGCCCCCTCAGGGCCCCGGGTCGTCCAAGATGCCTGCACCCTGCCACCACAAGAGCACACTTTGGGACAGGCCCCAGGCAGGTCTGCCAGCATGGGCAGGTAGACTGGGCTGAGGATCTGTCTCTCTGTCCTCCACCTCTCTTTAAAAGATTGGCTTCCGTGTGGCCCAGGCTGGCCTCCAACTGTATTTCACTTATCCTCTGTCCTTCACATTCCCAGGACCGAGGGTTTTAGATTGAGGGCACCACACCAGGTTTATGAAGCTGGGAATAGAATCCAGGGTTTTGTGCATGCTGGGCAAGCACTGTACAAACTGAGCCACATCCCCAGCCCCCCAAAATGGCATTCTTTATTTTTGAGACAGAGCCTCGTGGATTCCATCCTGACCCTGAATTTGCTCCCTAGCTGAGGATAATCCTGAATTTCAGAATCCCTGCTTCTGCCCCCAAAGAGCTGGGATTCCAGGCGTGTGCCACCATACCTGGTGTCTGCAGTGTGGGCAAGCACTCTGCCCACACAGCTACATTCCCAGGTTGCCCTTTTGATCAATCATCTCTTTCCAATGAGGCCAGCACATTCCGAGGCCAGCTGTTGGTGGGGTCTGTCTCCTTCCCAGGCAGAGGCTTGGCTAGTCTCTTTGGCCACTGCTGCCTGGGCAGCTGACCTTCCTGACCACCATGGCTGGGTGTGCAGTGACGTCAGCTGCAAAGCCGTGATCTGCCGTCCATTCCCAGTGACCTCCCCAACACGGCCCAGGCCCTTCCACCCCAGCCTGTTGTGAGCACCTCCTCCAACCCACTTTGGAACACTCACACTTGCACACTTCCAGCGTGGACTACACACCAAGGAAGCTCTCCAGTCACCCACCTCCTTAACCCAGAAGGTCTTGTCACCCACCCACCATCCACATTTGTACAAGTTTTGTGGGGTTCAATGATCCAGTGCCTTGGGCACAGCTTTCCTTCTGTTCCAGTACAGATGCCCCCAACTAGTCTCCTGGTTGTCCCTATGTCATTTTCCACACAGGTTCTATAGTTAGCTCTGTGTGTGTGTGTGTGTGTGTGTGTGTGTGTGTGTGTTATGTGCATACATGTACAAGGTATGCAGATCTGTTCTTGTGCTTGGAAGCCAGAGGAGGATGTCTAGTGTTCTGTCACTCTCCACTCTCTTCCTCTGAGACAGTCTCTCACTGAGCCTGGAGCTAGGCTGGCAGCCAGCAAGAGCCAGTGACCCTTTGGCCTCCACCTTGCCCACCCCCTCCACACTGGGCTTTTTCTGTTGCTGCCAGGTCTTGAACTCGAATCCCCGTGCCTTCATAGCAACTGCTCTTACCCACTGAGCCATCTTCTCACCCCTAAGCAGCATTTTAAAGGACCAGACTTAGTTTGGTCTCCTCAGCTTCCCCCGTCCCAGCATCTTCAGAGGACCCCCCTTTGTATTTTCTGTGACCTACAGAGGACCTTGGGGTGCTGTCTTAGTCACTTTTTTATTGCTGTGAAGAGACACCATGACCAAGCAACTTACAGAAGTATTTATGGGAACTTACAGTTCAGAAGGTTAGGGCCTATGACCATCACGGCTAGGAGCATGGCAGTGGGCAGGCATGTGTGACTCTGGGACAGTAGCCGAGAGCTATCTTGTTCCACAAGTACAAGGCAGAGAGAGGTTATTGGAGATGGCACTGATGTATGAAACCTCAAAGCCCACCGCCAGTGACACCCCTCCTCCAGTAAGATCGTACCTCCTAATCCTTCCCAAACAGTTGTGCTAACTGGGACCAAGTATCCAAACTCCTGAGCCTAAGAGGGTCGTTCTCATTCAAACCACCACAAATACCATGGAAAACTGAGTATTTTCAGGCACATTTCCAACCTCTTCAGACTAGCCATGGTAGCATACATCTTTAATCCCAGTACTCGGGGTGGAAGCAGGTGGATCTCTGTGAGTTTTGTTAGCCTTGTTTATCTAGTTCCAGGTCAGCCAGGGTCACACAACAGGACTCTATCTCAAAACAACAACAACAACAACAAAACAAAACCAACTCTCTCCGGCGAGCATATTTAGGAGGAACCGTGAAGCATGAGGGGGGTGGTCAGTAGAGTCAGAAACAAACCCTGAAGCAGAAAAGTTGCTGGCTGGTTCTTAGCCGCCTCAAGGCCTTTGGGGCTTGGTATGCAAGACACACACAGAGCGGGGGGCCAGAGAGGTGGGTGGATGGAGGTTGAGTCTCCAGAGGAGGCATCTGGATTTTCAGCATGAGCAGGACGGCTCTGGCTTCCACAGTCACCGGCATGCGACTCCCATTTGCGTGGGCGTGAGCAAGGTGTTTCCTTAGCTCCCACCCTGAGGCATGCGAGCTACCATCTGTCCCTAAGCTCAAAATGCCCTCAGGCCAAGCCACTCCCTTCCCACCCTCTGCCACACTCCTTACCTGGGTAACACAAAGCTGTCCTCTTCCCATGGCCTGAAGCTGCAGCCTCACCCCTGCCCCAGGACTATGGGCTCATGGCCATCGCCCCCTTCACCCGCCTGAGGACCTGGAGATCCAGAAAGGCCCTCCTGGTGGGCCAGTCCTCAGGACTCCAGAGGGCACTGACTCTAGTAGTTGTTCCCTGAAGGAATAGGGACCCAGAGCCACCAAATGTTTTAGACATTTCAGAGGAGACCTGAATTCCAATTTTTTTTTTTTAATGTGAAAGTTCTCAGTTTCAAAATATTGGATCAAAACCAAAAACTTCTTAACACTGGTAGATCCAGACAAGTTACATGTGACAAATGTGGTCTAAGCCCTGTTGATTATAATGGCAGCCTCGTGATGGTGTCTACTACATGACCCAACCAACCAACCATCCACCCATCCAGCACTTCATCTGTGGGCCACAGGACGTGGCGACTGCCTGCTGCTGAGCCAGGAGTGGGACTAAAGACCAGCTAGATGAAGGTTGCCACTGCCTCTGCTTTCTTCTGGTACTTTAAGAGTTTCGTGGTTTCCTTTAAGCCTTTGATTCATGTCGATTTATTTTGGTATAACATGTGAAGTGAGGTTCTAAATTAATTTCTTTTACAGATGGGCAGCCAATTGTCCCAATACTAAATGTGGAGAAATCCTGTTTCAAATGCCAACTGGATCATATGGTAACTTCCTATATATATTGGATGACTTCCAGTAATTTCTAAATTATATGGCTATTCCTATACTTCCTCTATAGTTCCAATTATTTCAGCTTTATAATAGATTTAAAATCTGTGTAAATAATGGAGAGGGTTCTCCTTGCTCCCTGCATGGCTGTTTTCAAACTTTTCCTGGGTATGTATGCATGTGTACTTTTCCGTATCACCCTCTCTATTCAGGAAGAACCATATAGCTATTGTTTGGTGTGGTTGTGATGATGTGAGGACCGGCATTCTCATAATGTTATCACTTTACCCACGGGGTATAGAAGTTCACAGTTGTGTTCTTCAGTCGTATGTAAAAGGATTGCTTCACATGGATTGTGGCACATCTTCAAGAAATTTATTTCTGGGACTGTGTGGGGGAGGGCTGGGTTGGTAAAGTGCTGCCCCGGTGAGCATGAGGCCTGAGTTCAAACCCTAGTCTCCATTTAGAAAAAAAAAAAAAAAAAGCTGAGTGTGGTGAGTGCTTGCAATCCCCAAACTGGAGAGCAGAGGCAGGGGGATCCCTGGGACTAGGCAGCCAGCCAGTCCAGCTTGATGAACAAATTCCAGTCCTGTAAGAGAATCTGCCTCAAAAAACAGGGTGGACAGTTCCTGAGGGGTGACACCCCGCTGACCTTGGCTTTCATATGCCCACGTGTGCACACCCACGGCACACACATGAACAAGCACATACAAGTGTGTATCTATACACAAGTGAAAATTTAAAAGTAAAAGGTTTTCTTCACACTGATTTTACATTTTTGAGAAAAGTTTCTTTCTAGGTTGTTTTACCAATGGGTCCTTTTACCCATACCCACTATAACTTAGCTCTGGTTAGTCTCTGAAGTCTTTGAAGGCCAAAGAGTACTTGTTTTGTAGAGAGTTATCTTACAAAAATTTTTTCATCCTTTTCAGTCTTTTCCCCCCAGTTGAGTCTTGTGCGGTTTTAGGTAAATAAGTAAATTACTTCCCAACAGTGAATGTCGCTTTCTCTTTTCCAACGTGATGTCTCAGTCCAGCTTTATCGTACGAGAGCCAGAGCAATAGTGATGGTGGGACCTTGGCTCCAGGATGAAATATATAAAGGCCGGCTTGAGGAACGATACATCCATCTAGTCTAACTTATTACATTCTTTTTTCCTGAGAATACATATTGAGCTTTTAAAGACACTTTTTTTTTAGATCATGAGAGATAAAGAGAAGATCCCAGAAGCCTTGAGAAACCGAAAAAGTCATGCAACAGAGGATCAAGACTCAGGATGGCACTGGGTTACTTCTCATCAACCCAGAATGCCACATGCCAATAAGAGCTGCCTTCAGAATGTGGAGTGGAGATGATTTCCAAACGAGATTTATACAGCCAGCCAAACTGTCAATCAAGGATCCAAAAACTGAACTTCCCATATGCAGTTTTCAAGGAAGCTACTGGCATGTATATTATAACTAAAAGAAGACAGTAAACCAAGCAGGGGGTGGCTTTGGAGCCGAGCACCAAAGAAGTACAGGAGAGAGGTTAAGGGTATTCCTGGGATAATAATGGAGGGAAATTTCAGAATATCTATCAGGAAGACGTCTAGGAGGGTGTCTGGTCTAGGACAGGTGAAAAGGACAATGAGTTTTTAGAAAAAAAAAACACACAAAAATGGAAGTAATAGGTTACTAAATGAATCTGATTTTATTGCTGGGGATTTTAAAATTTTGTGGACATGCTTGTGGGAAGAGTTAGTAATACTGCTTTAAAGTGTAAGTGAAAAACAGAGGCAATCACCAACTCCAGGGAAAACAAAAAGCTCAGCAACTACACCTATAACACCTCATATGTACACCTAGAACACCTCATATGTACACCTAGAACACCTCATAACTACACCTACAACACCTCATAACTACACCTACAACACCTCATGACTACACCTACAACACCTCATAACTACACCTACACCTCATAACTATACCTACACCTCATAACTACACCTACAACACCTCATAACTACACCTACAACACCTCGGATAATGGTTATTGTTTATGTTATCAGCTTGACAAGGATCTATAATCACCCAGGACATAAGCCTCTGCGCACACCTGTTATCTACACTAATTTCTGGGCATGTCGTGAGAGATTTTCTTGATTAGATTAATCGTGGTGGGAAGGTCTACCCTAAATGTGGGTGACACCATCCCCTGGGCTGGGATCCTGGACTTTAGATGTGGAGAAAGGGAGCTGAGCTTCCTGACTGTGGGTGCGATGTCACGTGGGGCCTCGTGCTCCTGCTCCCGTGACTCCCTCCCTGTGGTGGGGACACCCTGGAACTGTGAGCCAAACAGACCTTCCTCCCTGAAGTTGCTTTGGTCAGGCATCTCGCACAGCGATGGGAGAGGACACAGGAGACTTTGTTCCGCTGTTAACAACGTGGAGGTGGACCAGGTAAAAGAGGACTCTGAGGTAGCAGCTGTGAAGGATGACGTTGGGAGGGGAAGTGCGTGTCTGTGTGTGGTGGCTGCTGGGGAACTAGCAATCTTCCATAAGAGGAGGCCAACAAGTAATATGTGAAATCAGAAAAGGATGGTATTTAGAAATATGAAAGTAAATGTCAGAGGGAACGGTCCGAGGGCTTGCAGTCATCTCCTCCGAGGAGACGTGAGGCTGCTGCTTTTCATTATCGGTTTCATGCAACCATTTGACTTTTACAACCTCATAATAAACTATTGATCAAAATGGAAATTTCATTTTAAAATGTCCATGTATTTGTGACCTAACTCCGCTTTTGAACCTCTCCTGCTGTTCAGGAAATGAGCTGACCAGAATTTTGAAGATCAAGGGTACAGTCGCTCCGCTCTGTAAATTACTGGCTGTATGACCCAAGGCCAGTTGCTCGGGCTCCCAGAGCCTCTGTCTGTTCAACTGAGAAGCAGGGCTAATTCTAGTATCCACTTCATGGGGCTGCTCGAAGGATGACGTAAGCTTGTGCCTGGGCCTGACACTCAGGAGCATCCCCTAAAGGATGCTGTTGCTGTAATCTTCTGGGTTTTGTTTGTTCTGTTTCTTTTGTTATGTGAATGTGTGTGTGTGTGTGTGTGTGTGTGTGTGTGTGTGTATGTGTGTGTGTGTGTGTGATGTATATGTGTGTGGGGGGGGGGTGTATAGGGGCGTGTGTGTGCTCACGAGTTCCTTGGCAGTCACGTGGAGGTCAGAGGACAACCTTGGGGAGCCCTTGCCTACTAGCTTGTTTGGTGTACGTTTCTTTGTTGTTTTTCCATGTCATACACCGTCCTCTCTGGCCTGCAAGCCTCGGAAGTTCTCCTGACCGCCCCGTCTATCTTGTAGGAGCTCTAGCATTGCAGGTGTGCACTGTTGAACTTGGCTCTTGATGGCTGCTGTTTTCATTTTATTCAGCTCAGTTCCTAAGGGATCAACCGTGGATAAGTTCTCTGAGCCTTGCCCTTCAGACACAAAGTATTTTGTGCCACTGAGCAGATAAATGAGGTAGAGATGTGGAACATCCAGGACCCAGCCCCTCGTCTTTCTAGAACTCTGATTTCTCATCAGCAAACCTTTCAGGGTACCCTGCTCATTGATGGGATGGATGATCCTGGGAGATTTGTGCCCCGCGTTGACATGCATTGATTTACTCAAAAAAGCAGTCAAGTGAGGGAATTCTAAACTCATAGAACGAACACACTGTAGGAAACATGGGAAAATCGAGACACCCATGTCAGCACATTGTTACTTTTCTCGTCCCTGCAACCAAGTACCTGTCAAGACGCAGTCTGCGAGAGGACGGGTTTAATTTGGCTCACATTTTGAGGAGAAACAGTTTCTTGTGGCAGGGGGGAGGTAAGGTGGTGGGGCCATGGTGGGAGATGGAACTGCTCGCTACATTGCATTGACAGGCAGAGCGAGCTGTGACCAGAGCACAGAGAGCCACCCCCAGAGGCTCATTACCCCCAGTAAGCACCGCCCAGCAAGCGTGTCCTAGTCTTTCTTTAAAATAGTCTTTATTTTTATTTTATGTGTGTGGGTGTTTTGCTTGCATATATGTCTGTGTGCCATGTGCATCCTTGGTGCCCAGGGAGGTCAGAAGAGGGTGTTAGAGTCACTGGAACCACAGGCAGTTGTGAGCCTCCGTGTGGGTTCTGGGAACTCCACCAGGGTCCTTCTTAACTGCGGAGCCATCTCTCCAGCCTGGTATATCCAGCCTTGGATATTGCTACACAGCGCTGCCATCTACAAAGTTCACAATGGAGAACTGTAATTGATTTACAGAAAAAAAAAAATCTCATGAGACTGGAGAGATGGTTCAGCAGTTAAGAGCAGTCACAGCTCAACCACGAGGACCTAAGTTCAGATCTCAGCACCCACATCGGGCAACTTACAAATGCCTTTAACCCCAGCTTCAAGGGATCTGGCCCCCTTAACACGCACACACGTGCACACACCTCTCACGATATGTTAAGTAAGCTTCTCATTAGTGTTGGGCTGCATTCATGGTCATCCTTGGTTGCATGCGGCCCACAGGCCGCTCAGGACATGCTCAGGAGGTTACAATTGCCCTAAACAGCACTACCAGCTAGGGATTCGATGTTCAGATACATGAGCCTGTGCGGGGACATTTCACATGCAAACCAAGTAGACAGGAGTTTTCCCCATCTTATTTCCTGTGGAGTGTGTGTGTGTGTGTGTGTGTGTGTGTTCAGGTGGTGGTAGTGGATCCTAGCGGCTCCTTTCTGCTTATTCCTCAATACAGGAGTTGGTTGGCTCTCAGGGCTGTCTTTCTCTTTGTGGTAACTCTAGAGAGCTTCCAGCTTTCACTAGGAACTCGGGTTTCCATGGTGGATGAGACTGGAGAGAGGTGGGCTAAAAGGTAAACGCTAGTGAGGGAGTGTGGATACCAGAAAGCAACATCGGTTACTCCGATCACACTTATTGACCCAAGAGAGTGGCGCGGTCATCCTGAGCTGGGATGGGAGTGGAGCTGCCCTCCAAAGTGCCTTACCACACGGGTACCCGGACCCAGGGAAGAAGGGGCACTTTGTATTGCATTTGTGGAGCCGCAGCTACCCAGCCTGCATCGGGCTCTTTTGCAGGCTGCGGCTTTTGTCTCTCCGCATTGCATTATGAATCCTCTTTGAACACATGTGGTCGTCGGCACAGCACAAACCGAGGGAAAGATTTCAAGTGGCTGGTGACACTCTTTCTCTCTCCCTTGCTCCCTCCTTCCTCTTCTAATTTAGGGAACTGTGTGTAGGTGGCGGAGATCCAGGCTTCTGGTCTTTCCATGTCAATGCTCAAAAATATCTCCCCATCCTTCCCCTCCTGGCCAGCCGGCATGGACAGGCATGGCCCTGTCCCTCCTTCTCATGGGGAGCTCGGGCAGGCCTGGGGTGTCATTCACTCCAGAAGTCACACGTCTGGAGGTGAGGCCAGAAGAGCCCCCCGAACAACTGCCTGTTAACAACTGCACATGTGGGGTGCTGCTGCACGAGGCTCCGCCGCGGCCTCCTTGCGCAGACAGTCAGCCGCTGGTGTTAATGTGCTGTGTTAAAAGTGACACCAGGGAGCTGCAGGCGCCACTGTCAGCTGTGCGGGAGATGACACCCCGGCCCGAGGAGCCGGGTGCGAGCTCCGAGCAGCGGCCCTCCCCCTCGCTTGGGTCCCAGGATCCTGGGGACCCACGGGAAGGGGTTCAGGAGAGGCAAGCGTGGTAGCCTGCTGCAAGGAATGTTTCTTCCTCAGCTTGCAAGGAGTAGGGGACGGGCTGTGGGAGCAGTGGAGTCACGAGGCTGGAGGGACAGGTAGGGGCCAGGAAGGAGACCGTCCATGCTGAGAGCTCAGGGCTCTCCTCTCCAGGTTTTCTCTCTTCCCTTAGGCCTGCCTTCTTTCTTTCGCAGGTAGACCAGGCTGACCTTATAGTCCAGGATGAGCTCCAACTCCTGATCCTTCTGCCTCCACTTCAAGTGCTGAGTTCCAGGTGTGCACCACCATGTCCAGTGTGTGCGGTGCTGGGGACAGAACCCAGAGCCTTGTGCACGCCAGGCCAGCACTCTACCGACTAAGCCACATCTCCAGCCCTCCAACTCCCGTCCCGGTGCCTCCTCAGGGCCTCCATGGAGCAGCTGTGGTTTTCACATGAAGTCATGGACAACTTCTGAGATTTACAGTTCAGTCATGAACGTGCACAGGCTGGGAGGGACTAAAAAGGAACGCAGCAAACACTCCCGTCTGGTGTTGGGATGGATGGGCAAGTGCCCGGGGTTTCAGGGGACTTTGGAGGACAGTGAGCTTGGTGAGGACTCAGGAAGGCAGAAGCCCAGAGAAGGGAGGGAAAGGAAGTGACTGGATTGGGTAAGACTCCAATCATTAAAGTCATGTGCAGGTGGGAGACCTCGGGCAGCTCCCCTTCTTCTGGGGGCAGAGCTGCCACTGCAGCTACGATAGTCTGGTTCATGTGCTTTGTGTGGAGTCCTCACGGGTCTGCCCTTGTAGCCCGGGGAGGAAAGTGTGGGGTCTGAGGAGTGCCCACCTCACCTGTGGGAGTGGCCTAAGGTTCAACAAAAGTGAAACCCAAGAGTGCTGCTCCTTTGGGGTGTGAAACAGAACAACCCACCTTTAGGGCCTGAGGTGATAACTCAGTAAAGTGTTTTCCATGCAGCTTGAGGACGTGAGGACCTGAGCTCACTCACCAAAACCATGTAAGAAAGCTGGACATGTGGCATGTGCTTTTAATCTCAGAACTAAGGAGGGGGAGACAGGTGGATCCCTGGGGCTTGTGAGCCACCCAGCCTAGCTTAGTGTTTCCAGGTCAATTCAAGATTCTGTCTCAGGAAAAAAAAAGGTGAATGGTATTCTGAGGGATGACCAGAGGGTGACCTGGCATCTGGTCTCCACATGCACACTTACAGACACACACATGTGAACACACACACACACACACAACACACACACACACACACACACACACACACACACACCATCTCTTCATAGAATGAATTTATGTTATTTTATTTTTTCCCTTGACTAACTCATTATGACTTCCACTTTGCAGCTTGGGAAACTGAGGCTAGAAAAGCAAACGGTGCACATTCCCATAGTTCTTTAGGAAAGATGGAGCCCACCGCTGTCATCTCAATGTCACCAGCTGCTGGTGCCAAGTCAAACATAATTCAAGACGATTCCAGGGCCTGCGAATGTCAGGTCATTTGCTTGCTGAGGCCCATTTCCTCTTGGAACATAGCCTGCCTTCCATGATCCCAGCCTGGACCAGGTGGGATTTGGAGGGAGTCACCCATTGGCTGGCTATCAGCCAATCAATTACCCCTTCTAGTTCCAGCCTCAAGCGTACAGGGACCTAAGTCTGGAATCCCAGATTTGGGGAGGACGCTAGCCAGGGATCTGAGACTGTACAGAAAGTCCTCAGCACTGCCCGGTTTCCCTGTTAGCTCTACTCTCTTCCTCTTGTTAGGAGCTTGGAACCTGTGACTGCTGAGACCCCATTAATCTTTCCCTCCTGCCATTCAAGATTTCTCTCTC